TGTGAATGGTTTTACGTGAGTTTCCGCAGAACGAGATGTAGGTTCGTGACTGTTTAAATGATGATCAAATTCGTGTCTTAGGACATTCTGGAAGCAATTTCGACATTTCACATATATTGTCGAATCTGCTTCGCAGATGTGGGTACATGCTTTCTCTATTGTAGACCATGATTTGAAGCAACGGCAACATTCATATCTGTCTCCCTCTCCTGGTTGCAAACTTCTGATTGTCGTTTTATTATTGTCATCTAAAATCAATAAACCATTAAATAAAATAAAAAGTAAACTAAAAATGTTAATTATTAGTTTATGGAAATTAGCAAAAAGTATCCTGTTTGTAACACTGACCCCGTCAGACGAACCACTGTTGTTTTGAGTAGTACTGACCTCTATAACAAGAACCTATGCGTCTCCTGCAGTCTATTATTTGGACTTAATTAGTTATTTAACAAATTAAAGCCAAATAAAGATCAATTTTCTCTATCAACAATAAGTAAAGGAAGCATTTGAAACAAATTTGAGAGTAAAAAACTTATATATAAAACCTTTAAAATGACATTTTTTTAATGTTTTTATTCTTATTTGTTGCTCAGAAAGTTGCAAAATAAGTCAGAAATTTAGATTTTTTATTAATGTTTACCTTTTTTTTTATAAACTTAGAACCTTCATATTGCATGCAATTTTGGGACTTGTGGTGCTTAAATTAGGTCTAATGGTCGTAAGTTTGTGGACTTATCAAGCATGCTTATTGCCAGGACATTTGGATAGTTTTCTAGACGTTTTCAATCAAGCAGAAATATTGAGAAGGGGAAGAAATTACAACAAAAGACTGTTTCTAGAAATGTGTTTAATTAACGTTATAAAATATAAGAATTATGGCTTAATATATATATATATATATATATATATATATATATATATATATATATATATATATATAATATAAAATTTAGTGCAACAAGTCATTTCTCGATTGCTATATGCCGTATTGCTGTACTATAGGTAATAATGGCGTACTTTTATAATGGGGTTTAAAATGGACATGTTTACGGGGTTTCCCCAATGTGAAGTGCCACCTTTTTTTTATTACTTTTATTTCTTTTTCGGGAATGCGCTTTTGTGGATATTTTCATGTGTGCATTAAAGGCAGCTTCTCGCTGAAACACCTGAAAACATATTTGACATGTGAATGGTTTTACCAGAGTTTCCACAGAACGAGATGTAGGTTCGTGACTGTTTAAATGATGATCAAATTCGTGTCTTATGACATTCTGGAAGCAATTTCGACATTTCACATATATTGTCGAATCTGCTTCGCATATGTGGGTACATGCTTCCTCTATTGTAGACCATGATTTGAAGCAACGGCAACATTCATATCTGTCTCCCTCTCCTGGTTGCAAACTTCTAATTTTTGTTTTATTATTGTCATCTAAAATCAATAAACCATTAAATAAAATAAAAATTAAACTACAAATGTTAATTATTAGTTTATGGAAATTAGCAAAAAGTATCCTGTTTGTAACACTGACCCCGTCAGACGAGCCTTATATATAAAACCTTTAAAATGACATTTTTTTAATGTTTCTATTCTTATTTGTTGCTCAGAAAGTTGCAAAATAAGTCAGAAATTTAGATTTTTTATTAATGTTTACCTTTTTTTTATAAACTTAGAACCTTCATATTACATGCAATTTTGGGACTTGTGGTGCTTAAATTAGGTCTAATGGTCGTAAGTTTGTGGACTTATCAAGCATGCTTATTGCCAGGACATTTGGATGGTTTTCTAGACGTTTTCAATCAAGCAGAAATATTGAGAAGGGGAAGAAATTACAACAAAAGACTGTTTCTAGAAATGTGTTTAATAAACGTTATAAAATATAAGAATTATGGTATATATATATATATATATATATATATATATATATATATATATATATATATATAAAATTTAGTCCAACAAGTCATTTCTCGATTGCTATATGCCGTATTGCTGTACTATATGTAATAATGGCGTACTTTTATAATGGGCTTAAAATGGACATGTTTACGGGGTTTCCCGAATGTGGAGTGGCACTTTTTTTTATTACTTTTATTACTCTTTCGGGAATGCGCTTTTGTGGATATTTTCATGTGTGCATTAAAGGCAGCTTCTCGCGGAAACACCTGAAAACACATTTCACATGTGAATGGTTTTACCAGAGTTTCCACAGAACGAGATATAGGTTCGTGACTGTTTAAATGATGATCAATTTCGTGTCTTAGGACATTCTGGAAGCAATTTCGACATTTCACATATATTGTCGAATCTGCTTCGCAGATGTGGGTACATGCTTCCTCTATTGTAGACCATGATTTGAAGCAACGGCAACATTCATATCTGTCTCCCTCTCCTGGTTGCAAACTTCAAATTGTCGTTTTATTATTGTCATCTAAAATCAATAAACCATTAAATAAAATAAAAATTAAACTACAAATGTTAATTATTAGTTTATGGAAATTAGCAAAAAGTATCCTGTTTGTAACACTGACCCCGTCAGACGAACCACTGTTGTTTTGAGTAGTACTGACCTCTATAAGAAGAACCTATGCGTCTCCTGCAGTCTATTATTTGGACTTAATTAGTTATTTAACAAATTAAAGCCAAATAAAGATCAATTTTCTCTATCAACAATAAGTGAAGGAAGCATTTGAAACAAATTTGAGATTAAAAAACTTATATATAAAACCTTTAAAATGACATTTTTTTAATGTTTCTATTCTTATTTTTTGCTCAGAAAGTTGCAAATAAGTCAGAAATTTAGATTTTTTATTAATGTTTACCTTTTTTTTAATAAACTTAGAACCTTCATATTACATGCAATTTTGGGACTTGTGGTGCTTAAATTAGGTCTAATGGTCGTAAGTTTGTGGACTTATCAAGCATGCTTATTGCCAGGACATTTGGATGGTTTTCTAGACGTTTTCAATCAAGCAGAAATATTGAGAAGGGGAAGAAATTACAACAAAAGACTGTTTCTAGAAATGTGTTTAATAAACGTTATAAAATATAAGAATTATGGTATATATATATATATATATATATATATATATATATATATATATATATAATATAAAATATAAAATTTAGTGCAACAAGTCATTTCTCGATTGCTATATGCCGTATTGCTGTACTATATGTAATAATGGCATACTTTTATAATGGGCTTAAAATGGACATGTTTACGGGGTTTCCCGAATGTGGAGTGGCACTTTTTTTTATTACTTTTATTACTCTTTCGGGAATGCGCTTTTGTGGATATTTTCATGTGTGAATTAAAGGCAGCTTCTCGCTGAAACACCTGAAAACACATTTCACATGTGAATGGTTTTACTAGAGTTTCCACAGAACGAGATGTAGGTTCGTGACTGTTTAAATGATGATCAAATTCGTGTCTTAGGACATTCCAGGAAGCAATTTCGACATTTCACATATATTGTCGAATCTGCTTCGCAGATGTTTTAGGTACGGAGCGCTACTCTGAACTATCATTTCACTTCCTCTTCTTCTTCTTGAGGTGCCTATCCGTTACGAATGTTGGCGATCATCATGGCAATCTTTAGCTTATCTGCAGCAAAGCGGGAAAGCTGCACATATGTTGTATTGTACCAGATTCTGAGATTATTTAACCAAGATGATCTTCTTCTTCCTGGATCTGGTTTTCCAAATATTTTTCCTTGCAGGATAGCCTGAAGGAGAGCATATCTCGATTCATTTCGCATAATCACTTCACTAATTGTAGGTATTTCTAGATCACAATAAATATCTTTGTTTGACACGAACCATGCGGCGTCTGTTATAGAGCATAACATTTTGGATTGAAATCTTTCCATTGCGGACAAGTTGGATTTTGCTGCTGTACTTCATAGCTGGATCCCATAGATCCAGACCGGTTTGGGTATTGTATACCGTTAAATAGTTTGTTAGGAACAGACAACTTCGATGTTCATACTCCATTTATTTCTATACTAGACGATATTTTGCGACATTTTGTGAAGATGATAAGTTGGAGTATACACGAGCATTTAACAGTATTTATTAATCATGTTGTTTTTAATCCGCAGGAAATACCATCATTTCTTACGCAAGGAACCACTTATCTAATACCAAAGGATCAAAATAACACCCAAGATCCAGCCAAGTACCGCCCAATTACTTGTCATCCAACTTTGTACAAATTGGTCACATCCTGTGTAACCCAGCGTATCTACCAACACTGTTCTCTAAACAATATCATAGAGCCTCAACAGAAAGGATGCGCTAAGGGTTCCATGTTCTGCAAAGAACAACTTATAATCGACTCAGTCATTTCCAACCAGGCGTACAGCAAAAAAAGGAACCTTTTTACCGCCTTCATCGACTACAAGAAGGCCTTTGATTCAGTACCGTATCAATGGCTGATAGATATATTGAAAATATATAAAGTCGATGTTAATATAGTGACCTTTTTTTTAAAACATATAATGACGGAGTGGAAGACTAAAATTCACCTTCAAATACCTGGTGAAAAAAACATCGAAACTGAAGATATCCCAATTAACCGGGGCTTTTTCCAGGGGGACTCCTTGAGTCCACTTTGGTTCTGTTTAGCGATGAACCCACTATCTCAGCTACTGAACTCCACCGACTCAGGTTTTAGTATCAAAAATAACAACACTGTTGTGGCGAAGCTTAATCATTTGTTGTATATGGATATTTGAAATTAATGGCTTCCACTCGAAACCACCTAGACCAGATGCTAAAAACTGTTGAAAATTTCTCAAATGATATTAGTATGCACTTCGGTCTTGACAAGTGCCGTGTCTTAAATATAATCAAAGGAAAGGTTCAGCCCGGCGGATTCGATATGCAAAACGGCCAGAACATCGAGGCCATGGGTGAAAATGATATGTATAAATACCTCGGAATCAAGCAAGCGCGGAAGATTGACCATAAGCAAATGAAAACTAAGATAACAACTGAGTTTATACGAAGGGTAAAACAGCTGCTTCGTTCACACCTTAACAGTAAAAATTTGTTTAAGGCACTAAACACCTACGCATGTTCCGCGCTTAGCTACTCATTTGGTATTGTTAAGTGGACAAAAACGGATGTAGAAAATCTTCAGCGAAAGGTACGAACACACTTCACAAAGGCACAAGAACACCATCCTCGAAGTGCAGTAGAAAGAATGACATTACCGCGGTATTTAGGAGTTCGAGGACTTATGGATATAAGCGAGCAATTAGAAAAACAGATTACTAATTTAAGAACTTATTTTCAGGTGCAGGCGGAGACATCTACTCTTCATCGCGCGATTTGTGCAGTAGATGACACAACACCGATCAAACTGAGGGAACCAGAAATGCGCATAAACCACCTTACTAAGAACGAAAAAATGCGCACCTGGATGGGCAAGCCTCTGCACGGGCGACATCCCAATGAGGTTAGTCAAGACCATGTCGATAGTATAGCGTCGAACTATTGGCTGACATCAGGAAGGATGTTCCCCGAAACAGAAGGTTCTCTACTGGCCATTCAGGATCAGGTTATACCAACCAAAAATTACCTGAAATATATCGTCAAAGATCCTCAGGTCCAAAATGACAAATGCCGATATGGATGCCAAGCTCAGGAAACCATTCAACATCTTACCGGGGGCTGTCAGGCATTTGCTGCAACTGAATATAAGGAAAGGCACGACTCAGTAGGAAAGATCCTTCATCAAGAGATAGCTATCAAACTGGGACTTCTTCAAACAAACCATCTTCCATATTATCAATATGTTCCTGAGAGTATACTTCAGAACGACAACTACAAGATATACTGGGATCGCACGGTGCTCACAGACCAAACAGTGGCACATAATAGACCAGATCTCATACTAGTTAATAAACTAAAGAGACAAACAACATTAATTGATGTGGCGATACCCAACAACAATAATCTTCGTGTTAAACACAACGAAAAAGTCGCCAAGTACAGGGATTTGGAAATTCAAATACGAAGACAGTGGAAAATGGAAAGTACCCAGACAATACCGATTATTCTCTCTACTACTGGAGTCATTTCAAAGAACCTCCTAGAAAATATAAAAAAGCTAGGTCTGAATGAACATCTCTACAAGACCATACAAAAAGCTGTACTACTCTCAACATCCCGATGTGTACGAAAATTTTTGGGAGATACTCCAGCATACCAAGTCACCTAGGGCTCGATAACACGGAAAGAGTCCCACCAGAGCTCAATCCATTTGATACCGTAGGTATCTGGGATGAGTGAATTTTCTCCTTACAGGGAGTGTGAGCCGTATGGCTTAATCTGGATAATAATAATAATATTAAACTGTGTCATTTGTTTAAATAGGAATGACAGGACAATGAGACAATGACAATGAATGACAATTGATATCA